TCCCTCCCTCCCTCCCTCCCTTCTTTCTTTCTTTCTTTCTTTCTTTCTTTCTTTCTTTCTTTCTTCTTCTTCTCTCTCTCTCTCTTTCTTTTTAAATTTATTTTATGTGCATGGGTATTTTGCCTGCATGCACATGCATATCCCCTGGAACTGGAGTTAGACAGTTGTGAGCTGCCATGTGGGTGATGGGAATTGAACCGGGGTCCTCAAGAGGAGCTGCCAGTTCTCTTAAGCACCGGGCCATCTCTTCAGCCCCCTTATTTTCTATTCTTAAAGTACGGATCTTGAAATTCTTGCCTCTTAGGGTTGAGGAGGCTAAGTTCGATCGAAGACCCATGGAAGAGCCTACCTAGTAGAGTACCGAGAACGGCGGGAGCTTGATAAACGTGGGACTGAATTTCAACGCCTTCCCACGAATTCCCCCTGAGCATCTATCTTGGGTAACCCATATGGTCAAGACAGGATCTTATCTCTGGTCCAGGTTGTTCCTGTGATTTCGTGTCAGGGCATGAGCCTCAGCACTGAGCTATGCCCCTGGGGAAGGTTTGCCCCGCCTTGGGTCTCGGGGCTGCTGGCCCACCGGATCTCCTCAATGCGCCTCTGCTGCTCCCGTTCCAGCTCCTCCTTCATCTTCTCCGCTCTCTCCAGCTGCTCCTTATGGAGCCGGGTCAGCTCTTCCTGCTCCCTTCTGCTCCGCTCCACCTCCAGCCACCTCATCTCGGCCCTCTGTATGCGAATTCTGTCTCGAGAAGCCTTCTCCTGCTGCCTCTTATCCAGGAGGGCCTAAGAAACCAGAGTGTTAGCTGTGCAAGGGACCGAGCCAGCGGCAGCCCAGATAGGGTTTTCTCTAATCAGGGACAGACTCCTAAAGCTGACTCCACACGACCACACAGTGGCATAAACTGCCTGTGCCTGGCTGGCTGTGGGGCTGGAATGACCTACATTCAAGTCTTTCACTTGCTTTGGGATTGCGGTGCACGGCTTTCCTGATACGGTCTTCCTCATGGACTATGTCCAGTACTCACTGTGATAACAAAAGTGCCATCATACCACCTTACACCTGTCAGAATGGCTACGATCAAAAACACCAATGACA